TTCATCAAATGGATTACCAAAGTTACGTGTTGTTTTTAATTCGTAAAAATGTAGCTTTTAATCTCACTTTGGCTGGAAGTACTTGCGCGCCCGTAGAATAACGCTTGTAAAACGACGAGGAGTGTACATTTCCCTATCGGGGCCATGCAATTAACAACTTTAGGGACGGGTCGGCGACATCTGGGCGCCAGCCTCGAGCGTGTTATACTAACCTGAAGATTTTTCAGTTTTTTTCCATCTTGTACCGACAAAGGGAATATGGTAGCCCCCGACACTTCAAACGCGAATTACGGGTGCACGAGAAGTGGTAAGCGGATCCCGTCAAAGTGAATGTGGTAGCCTTCGACAAGATTTTATTGATGGTGGAGTCAATACTGGATAAAACATTGATCTGCCACATAAAAATGCGCTGAAGTCCCTTCGATCTCACACGAGGACTTTGATAATTTTTTAAGGTACTATTTTGTATTATGAGCTGCAGTGATTTAAGCTGAATAGGTACCGGTAGTTGTTGCGCAACACCTAACGAGGTTTGAATAAAGTATTATTGTACGTGTAACCATATTTTGCTTGTTGGTTTCTGGTCGTAAATAAACGAGGGGTAGTCATCTGTACGCTTGTGTTTTGATTGGTAATATTTGTGCATGTATGGTTCCTTTAGGAATCCAATCCGAATTTCTTGCCATATACCATCCAGCTTCCGTTAGATTCAACAGCGGTGAGAAATCCGAGTCACATTCTTTTGATATTTATTGGTTTACTTAAATGTAGTAGGTTCCGGCTAAAGTGAAACTGGCCCCATTTCCACCGAGCTAGCGAAAAGGGTGCGCTGTTGACGCGTTTTAGGCGAAGGTGATAATGAGGTAGGGTGGTAGCGCCAGGTATCCTTGCATTTAAGTATTATTATTATTCTGCTTCAGCTATTAGCCAAGTTAATGTTAGAATTTTTTTGTTGTGTCGAAACCCAGTCGTGCTCTGAGAAAAGTTTAAAAAGGAAAAAGAAACTAAGGGGTCTATTCTGTATATTGTCGTTAACAAACGATATCGTAATGGTAACGATTTGATCTTGCACGACAGATATATGCCGTACCACTGTCATATGTTATATGTCATATAGAATAGAGAAAGTCGTTGCCGAACGATATTCGCTATGTAACAACATCGTTATGCGTTAGAGAATAGGCCCCTAAATGGTGTAATTTGAGGTAGGTAGGTAGGTGTCTGTGGTATTTTTTTACCGCGTACCATTGCACACAGCAATGTTTGTTTGGCGCCCAACGTGGGGCCACAGCAATAGATAGTTTACTCATGTGCGAAGAGAAGGAGCGTAGCATAACAACGTGTGCGAGCTTTTTTGGAAAATACCCTTTCAAATATTTGAAAATAGCTCTGTTTCATTTGAATGGAACCTCTTTATATTTACCAGGTACGCCAATAGTGAGGCACTTTAATCATTAATGGAATATTATTCCAGGTTTGTGTTATACAGCAGTTATTTGCACTTGAGGGATAGTTTGAGATATATGGGGACCACAAATAAACGAACAAGAGAGGAAGTTAAAGTGGTTTGTTTGCCAGGAACAGCACAGCGCACTTTAATCAAATGTATTATAATACTCGTATTTGGTAAGAAGCAACATTAATGTCCATCTCTACTGTGGTCTTGATCGATATGTAAGAGCAACGACTATGCATAACTGGCGTACAAAAGTAATTCAATTAAACCAGCAAACAGAAGCACGCTACGGATAGCGCAAAGTTCGTAAATTTCCGCATATTGACAGCAATGCGGGGCTGAAAGGTATCGTGTAAAGGATACAGCTGTCGGCGTGTGACATATCGATTGCATTGACACAAGCCGTAATAAATTAGGGTTTGAGAGTCGCCATGCTGTAGCTACCGAGTTTAAAATTCAATTTCAACGCAAATGTGAAAGTAAGTCTTTAGATGAAGGTGCATTAGCTTGCCTTCTGTAACTATAAAATAGAAGCTTTTATGTGTCCCTAAGTTAATTTTCTATAAATTTACCTCGACATACTTACACTTTCATTGTTTAAAGGTTGTAGAAAATTGGATACGCGTATAGAAATACTTTTAGGGCGGCGCGCGATGAGACAATAAAGCATGTGAACAATTTGCATACCTATTTCCTTAACGGCAATATTTAGCGATATTAAGAAAGACATAAATGTATGTACCTATGTAAATTATGTTTGTTTACACAAAATCATGAATAAATGCACGTGATTAAAATTTAATAGCTTCACCAGACTATTACAATTCGCACGCAAAAGCTTGCAGTTTGTTTGCAAAACTGGAATAATTTCATTAGGTTTATACATTCTAAATAATATAAAGTTCCGGGACCTTCCGCATAACAAATGGCTCCATTAACCTAGCCCCCCCACAATCAAATTTTCAATTTTTTATTTTGCGAAAGTTTAGTGCTAATTATGTGCTGGTTTGTGCCGCAAAGAAAAAGTTTTGTGCTATTACCGTTTATGGGGTATTAATTTTTTAAGATAGGGGGGCTAGGTTAATGATAGCCCCCCCCCACATTACATATTAAAATATTTTTTTATGCAATAGGTTTGTGCTAGTTATGTGCTCGATTGTGCCGTAAAAAAAAGTTTTGTGCTATTACCGTTAATGAGGTATTAATTTTTCAAGATAGGGGGGCTAGGTTAATGATAGCCCCCCCCACATTACATATTGAAATATTTTTTTATACGATATGTTTGTGCTAGTTACGTGCTCGTTTATGCCGCAAAGAAAAAGTTTTGTGCTACTACCGTTAATGAGATATTAATTTTTCAAGATAGGGGGGCTAGGTTAATGATAGCCTCCCCACATTAAATTTTCAATAATTTTTTTATGCAGTAGGTTTGTGCTAGTTATGTGCTGGTTTGTGCCGTAAAGAAAAAGTTTTGTGCTGTTACCATTAATGAGATATTAATTTTTTAAGATGAAGGAGCTAAGTTAATGATATCTACCCTCAAATTAATATTAATATTATAACGTATTTTTTAGTAACAAAAAGAAGCTTTACATTTCACTGTGCCTGGGTGGATGGCTGGGCGGATAGATAAACTCTTGATCTAGACGTCTTATTTTCAATCAACGCTACTAGTGATTTGTTATGCGAAACATCGATAAACTTATAATAACTTTTAGATTTTACTACCGGATGCAAACTTCAAAATATGGTGCGAACATAAGCATTTTATTAAACACAAAAATATTTATAAAAAGGATTAACATATATACAAGATTATTGGGAAAATATAAGCATGTGTACCCGTACAATTTTATTTTGCGAACAAGGCAACACTGTATTTAATAAGTCATTATACTGTTCCCAAAGGTGGTTGTGACGAAAACAGTATGATATAAAATGTCCAACACCATCACAATGAGCACTTTCCGGTCCTTCGAATCCGATCACTCCTCTTAAGTTTAATATTTTTCCACTAATGTTTAACACGGGTGAAATAGCATTAAGTGAACAGCTTAGTTCAGTTGTTTTTGTGCTTAGGTTTAATGGCTCTACAAACATAAATTTCGCACTATGATTGTATAAGTAATGAGTTTCGAGGTTCTCATTACACTTATTTAATTGACATTTTCTCTTTAAAGGGACTGTGGAAGTAAATCTGTCTGTCGTTAATTCTTGTAAGATTTGAATATTGTCTATTTCTATTGTTAGGAATGGATATTCTTTTCTTTCCAGCATTGTACAATTTGTATTACCACACTTAATTAATTGAGAGTAACAATTGACCGGCCATACTTTTTTAACTATGTTGCTTATGGAGTCTACGCAGTCAACTTTCACTAAGCCTTCTGTCATTTTCTGTAACGGGTAATGTCTTTTATTATTTTTGCCCTTTTATTGTATGTGTTCACGCTGACTTGAGTTGAACTTAAATCTCTTACTAGTGAACATATTAACCCAGATTCATGTGTTGTAATAAAATCTCTTATTTCATTACTATCGCAAAATGCCGTAGCTAATATTTGGACAAAGGAATCAAATCCACAAGTATTTGTTAAGGTTACATAAATGTTGCCAATTTTATTGGGTTTTAGTCCATCTCTATGTCCATTTTTAAGTAACCCAATTGGTACACATTTATTTGTGGAGGTGAAGTCTATTTGAAGGATTTCTGCAGCTTTTTGTGTTTAATAAAATGCTTATGTTCGCACCATATGTTGAAGTTTGCATCCGGTAGTAAAATCTAAAAGTTCTTATAAGTTTATCGATGTTTCGCATAACAAATCACTAGTAGCGTTGATTGAAACTAAGACGTGTAGATCAAGAGTTTATCTATCCGCCCAGCCATCCACCCAGGCAAAGTGAAATGTAAAGCTTCTTTTTGTTACTAAAAAATACGTTATAATATTAATATTAATTTGAGGGTAGATATCATTAACTTAGCTCTTTCATCTTAAAAAATTAATATCTCATTAATGGTAACAGCACAAAACTTTTTCTTTACGGCACAAACCTACTGCATAAAAAAATTATTGAAAATTTAATGTGGGGAGGCTATCATTAACCTAGCCCCCCTATCTTAAAAAATTAATATCTCATTAACGGTAATAGCACAAAACCTTTTCTTTGCGGCACAAACGAGCACGTAAATAGCACAAACATATCGTATAAAAAAATATTTCAATATGTAATGTGGGGGGGCTATCATTAACCTAGCCCCCCTATTTTTAGAAATTAATACCTCATTAACGGTAATAGCACAAAACTTTTTTTTACGGCACAATCGAGCACATAACTAGCACAAACCTATTGCATAAAAAAATATTTTAATATGTAATGTGGGGGGGCTATCATTAACCTAGCCCCCCTATCTTAAAAAATTAATACCCCATAAATGGTAATAGCACAAAACTTTTTCTTCGCGGCACAAACCAGCACATAATTAGCACTAAACTTTCGCAAAATAAAAAATTGAAAATTTGATTGTGGGGGGGCTAGGTTAATGGAGCCATAACAAATGACCATTTCACTTTATTTTATTAAATCACTTCCTTGTGGTGCTAATAATTCAAAACTACGGACAACTAAGCACCAAACTTCGATTACACATATAGGTACATAATAATACTTCAGTAAAAAATAAAAACAAAAAAAAATTTCGTTTTTTCCGGATATCTCCAAAAGCAGTCGGAATTTTTTCAGTTTCGAAACTGGATTTTTTTAAGCATCAAAATACGCAACTTTGACAAATTTAAACTACCCACCTATCTCTTACAGTTCCCGACATCCCCATGGTGGCCCTCGAATTTGAATCAGCCTGTATATGTGTTTTAAGTTATGTATTGTGTGGTAGATAAATAACGTGGTATTGGTATATCTAAAACTGAATTTGAGTAAATTTATGAAAAATTGGATACGTTGTGCTTGGATTAAGTGCCAATCTTAAATATCCCTTCAAAATCAAAATCGATACGTTACCTGAATTATATCCTAGATTATACCTTTGAATCAATAAATATGTCAAATGCAGGTTACAATTTGTGATGTAACATATCCTTGCAGTTTTTAAATTTGTATCGTCCCGGCTTTTATGCATTTTATTAACGGAGAAAGACGCAAGCCACGCCACTGGAAATGTTTTACCGTGAATCTTAGAAATTCAAGAGTTTATACTTTATTTTTTTTCCTTTGTAATTACTGTAATTAGCATAGGATGTAGGGCAATTGTTTTGTATTATCAGTTGTCGATTTATTAGGGCATTTGCTTTTCTAATTTGATTTTGCGCAAGGTTTTCAAAGTAAGTGAGGTAAGGGCCGTATTTAGGGGTAGGTAGCTTTGTTTATGAGGTGATCAGGAATGAGTCATTGGAATAAAATAAAACAATTGACAGAATTGACAGAAGCTGGTAGTAGTGAGAGTGGATACTGAGAGAAGGGGTATAAGTATATACGCCTTTTTTGGCTATTTCTCCATGGTGATATTCATCCATTTGAATATATGGCGTTATTGATTTTGAATTTGAATGGCCAGTGCTTTATTTATTGCTGCTCGCCCACCCCCTTTTTTGCGAGGTTGGAGACGATCGTAGCTCGTAACGAGTGGTTACTAAGCTTTGCTATTCTCTGTATTTAAACCAGGAGCTTTGGCTTGTAGAACAGTCCATTTGCATACTGTATTTCGTCCAGCAGGAATATCTTTATACCATGTTCTGTTCAACTTCCAAGTGGGATTTATAGTGAAAAGGAGTCGAATTGGACACAAATCAGGATTGTTTATTAGCCATTTCAATAAGGGCATGGTTTTTTCCCTCCTTGCGTCGTCTTAGTAAACACAGGATCGTAAATAATCCTTCCTGTTTTTCACCTACGTGATTTTCTTCTTCTTTAAAGTACGAAACTAAGCACTTGTTGCTTTCTCCACCATGCCAAGCTAATTCAAAAGCAAATACAAAAAATACCTTCTTTCTGCAAACCATCTGGGGGTTTTCGTCACAACCACGAACTATATTTTGGAATTCATGGTACTTCAGAAAAACGGCACTTTCCTTTCTCTTCTCTGGATCTGTTTGTAGTTGTTTTCTCTTGGCATCTCTGACTGCTTTGAACTCAATATTATTAAATGGGTTAAAATACATGTTGTATTCAGCGAAATATTTCTCCATCGATAATTTGGCAGTTACGTTCCACATCGTTTTAACAGTAAATTGTTTGTACTCATCGCCATTCTGCTTAGCATATTTAATGCCCAGTCCGTTAATACTTTTGCCAGAACATTAATTTGTGTTTTTTCGTCCAAAGTATAGTTTTTCTCCGCACAGAAGCTTATAAACTGACGCCACACATATTTTCTGTTCTGTTTTGTGTTATTTGGTTCGTTTTTCAACACATTTTCTTCAACAGCTTGTAATGAAGCTCGACCGAAACGAGACATTTTTAATAAGAGTTATTTTTTACATCACTTATCAAGCTGAGGTTACTTATAAATTGTCACTGTATTGTGAAGTTGCCATGGATATCAACTGTGTAATTTTTTCTACCGCTGTAATTGACCGATAATTGTACGCTCGATACGGGATTTATTACATATAAGGGATATAGTATTCAAGCAAATATCTATAGTGCGTTTCATAGTGACCTTTCAGTACAGGCTCTTATGGAGAACAGTGATAAAGACAGATTTCAGAAACAGATTTCAGAATCCGCAAACTTAAAACGGGCAACACTGAGCTCCAATGTGCCATAAGATTTACATAGCCCCTATATGCTGTCTGTACTGAAAGGTCACTGTGGAATGCACTATAGGACTATTCCGAATAAATTTCTATGGAGAAAGATTAGGTTTTAAAAGTAAGTTAGAAGGTTACAATTTTGCGTTTATTATTTCACAATGACTTCATACAGATCATAGGTTTTTATCGATGAATGTTCTGAGAGGAGCAACGTGGGCGTAAACTCCAGGATAGTCCGGACGGGCGCATCCACGGCCCCAGGAGACGATTCCAACTTGTTTGTCGCCAACTACCAGTGGACCACCGGAATCTCCTTGGCAAGAGTCCTTTCCTGGACTGGCAAAACAGATCATGGTATCGGTGATGCGGCCGTTGTAGCTTCTGTTGCACTCTTCCCTGTCTACTTCTTTAACATCGACAGCTTGTAATTGCAAAGGAGAGGATCCTCCAGATGACAGAGTGCCCCATCCGGTGCACACCGCTTCACGATCACCTTCCGTCGCATATGCTTCGACCAGGGTGATCGGTTTGCCAATGTCTGAATCCTTGATCGGTTCAGAAAGAGTTAATACGCTGACGTCATGACTAGTTGTAAATGGATCGTAGTCTGGATGTTTTGCAATGCTTGATACCTTGATCACGACACCCTCCGAACCACGGTAAGTACTCGAGTGACGAATTGACAAAGAACTAGCAGATGAGCTGAAAGTATTCGTGAAATTCCAGGGAAGAACCCGATTGATTATCTCTTACCTGCTGATGCAGTGAGCAGCAGTGAGTATCTTGTTCGGTCCGAGGATGGAACCGCCACAAACATGACTGCCGTAACGTTGCAAAGAGACTTGGTATGGATATTCTTCGATCTTAACGGGTTTGCCGCCAACGATTTTTCCGTCAAGTCTCGGAGTTGGACGCAGCTGTAGTCTTGCACCTGGTGTTTACGCAGTGTTTCAACATACATTTTGTTTTCAAAGTAGATTAACTTACCCGCTGCCAAGGTGACTACGGTTAAAAGAAGTAGTAATCGGAACATGGTTGAAATTGTTCTGATGCAACATACATTTTACGAACTATATATAGTATCTAAGTGCATGTACTTCTCGCAAATATAAGTACTTCAAGTGATATGTTTTTAAAAAAATAAGTAATCGCAATTGTATGATATGCGCAAAGCACTTATCCCTTGATTCTAAATTATTCGATAGGATAGAGTGTTTTTATTGTCTATAACTTTTAATAGTTAATCATTTGAAGAAATACAATGATAAATAACTTTGCCATTTCTTTCTGTTTTTTTTTTTGTAATAAAACCTGGCACAATTTTTGTAGGTTTTGCACAGAAAACTAAGGTATTTTGAATACCTTAATAAAAATGTTAAGTTGCTTTTTGAAAAAAAAGTTCGATGCCGTTGCGGCGCTCCAACATTTTTTTGCAAAAATCTGGTCCATTATTTTCCGTTCCCGTATGCCTCATATACATATCCAAAATTTGAACCGAATCCGTCGAGCCGTTACGTCGGAAAATTGCCAACATACGCACATACAGACGGAAAAAAATTTTATTCTTTAAAAGTTGCTTAAAATGATGTAGAACGTCGACATTTGATGAAATTTTGACATGTTCAAAAAACAGTGATCGTAATAGCTACTCTACCTCATGCTAGAAAGCTAAAAATAATCTGTACTCAACTCTCCAACAATTCAATATGGGCAGCCTTTATAGCCAAACGTGCCAACTCAAACAAGGATACGTAAAAAAGTACTTAGTACTTAAAAAATGTTTTTGCGCGATCGGTCATTTCTGACTATTTACCATGGGTGTTTCCATGACAGTACGTAGAATTTACCAGTTGCTATGATTACGACGACGCCAAAATTACTTACCGATCTAAAAACAGAACAGCAAAAATACTTACCGACGCCTTTTTAAAAATCACAGTCTTACATTACATTTAATCTTTAATTATTGTTAGGTACATTAAACGTACAATTTGTGCTGTTGTTTCCTATAGCAAGACGCTCATAAAGTCATAAAGGAAGTTTCAAAGCTAGTAAACTACATCAGACACATGCACATTTTTATGAAATTATTAATTTCAATTTTGACATTTAAACTGGTTACCCTAGTGATGTACACCATACCACTTCGATTATTTCGATTTATTCTGCTCGTTAATTTCTTAGTGCATATTTATATTGGTTGGATAATTTTAATTTCGATCGCGCAAAAAATGTTATAAGCACGTCGAACGTTAAGGGTTACCGTTCTCAGACAATAATTGGAGTCGTCGCTTCGCTCCTCCTCCAAACAATTGTCTTCGAACGGTAAAAATCCCTTACCGTTCTCCATACTTAATATACTATATGTTTCATTCGTACCAAAAATGAGTTTTCGTTAAAAAAATTTGAAATGCCCTTTCGTGGTGAGAATTTTCAAAATTTTTTTGCAAAATCGGAAAGGGCATACCCGAAAACCTATTCAAAGACGTGCTACCAATCTTTCTAACTCTTATGATTGCCGAGAAAAAAATTAAAGAAGAAATGCAAATTTCATCACTTTTGTGAGTTTATTTATTTAGAAAAAGTGCTTGTTTTGATCCCCTCTCCCACCCAAATTTTTTTTACATACTTATATCATACCTAGTATATGTGTTATATTATGCTTATACTCTGTATATACGATTTGGAATTTGACGAATGAGAACCTACCCTTCATGAGCTACAACTTTGCTTCTACTGGGTCTACAGACTTCATAAACACCATTTTGTTTGTCTGTTTATAAGCTATATTTTTGCTAAGAATACTTTTTTGGATACAATACTTACTTTTACAGTTATTTGCGAAAAACCGCCTGAAAACGTAGTTTTTTTGTTGAAAAATGAACATTTTCACTCGCAATTATCTCGAATACTATTGACTTAGTGAAAAAACTCTATAGAACAAAAGTTTCTTAGAATTTACTCAATTTATCAATTTCCGTACTTATTTTGAACGTATCTTTTTTCCCCCCCGAGAAGGGGTGGCATTCACCCCCCCAAGTAAAAGCAACCCTGGGCTCGAGTTCACCTTTGAAGTAGAGGGTAAGAGGAACCTAAATCCAAATTTTCATGGGATTCGGTGGAGACGCGGAAAATTACACAGTATCGCCGTATTCCACGTTCATTTACTGGCCTATAGGTGGGTTGGGTCTGTTGTCACAAACGATCGACGATAGAAAATCTTGATCGGTAAATTATTTGGGTTATACGGTTCAATACCACTTATTTGACATTCCTTTATGATGTTGGATGGCGTAGATGCCAACGTAAAGTGGGCTTTCACACCAAAGTAGCATGCGACGTGCGACTTGCTGCTTGGAAGCAAGAAGCACGTCGCAATCAGCATCTTTCACGTTTAGCTTCACACCGAAGCCGCAAATTGCGACTTATCTTCAGTTCTGTGTTGGTAGTGTACAATAACAAAACAATATTGAAAATGTCGTCGGAAGAAGACAATTTTGTGTTAATTGCTGCTATGATTGCAAGAAGAAGAAGGAAAAAAAGAAGAAAAGTTTGGATTCATCCGTATTTACGTGATAATGCTGACACGCATAGCACTTTCATTATATCCCAGCAGCTACAGTTACATCCTCAAAAATTTCAAAACTTCTACAGGATGGAACAAACAACATTCAAGAAGCTTGTTGATCTAATGAAACCATCAATGCAGTTACAGGATACAAATTACCGAAGAGCTATCACTGTGGAGGAAAGACTTCTTATATTTTTGAGGTAGGTAGGTAATAAACCAGTTAATGCATGGAAATAAACCACAAGACAATTTGCTAAAACATGTTTTTATTATACATATACTCAAAAAACTTATAAATCACTAAATCGCTACTGCGTCAATAATTGATGATTTTGGTTAGGTGTATTAGCGTCATAAGCAGGCTGATTATGTGATGTATAGTTACCTTCGTTGATGAGCATGCCTCCAAATTGATCCGGAGTGAATGTGCCAACAGGAATGTTATACATATGGGACGTATGCGCCGTGTTTGATGCTGAAAGATCTTGATGTATTGTTGAAGATGTTGATGTATTCTTTTCTTGCAACATATTGTCTAATGTCTGCAGCACCACTACTTTGAATCTTCGTTTCTGAGATGCATTTAAAATACCCATATCCGGAAGAATGCTTTAAAAAAAATCTAAGTCAGGGTTTTGAGGTTGTGGCGCGCTTTTTTGAGAAAGGTAATTGATGACAGCATGCTCCATTTCATCGTCTGGTGGTTTTGCAGAAGTTTTTCTTTTTGTAGAGGATCTACTCGATGTACGTGATGGTGTACTTAAAAAAGAATTTTCATCTTGCAAACTTGCCTCGGAATGATGATTAGGGTTGGGTCCTTCTCTCGGTTCTTCTGGACCGGCAGCTGTGGAATCATTTTCATCATCGTCTATTATACTACCCTGATCGGTGTCAACCATTTCGTCTTCATTGGCCTCAGTTGGCAAATTGCCCGATTGAGGTCTTGATTTGGTGAATGGTAATACGAATTGCATAACGTCCCATAAGTAATACGGCTTTTTTGATTTAGCTGAATCTCCACTTTTTCCAGCACGCTGTTTCACATATCTCGTGAGGCTACCTCGAAGTGTTTTCCATTTTTTTTTGCATTCAGATGCTAAAACAAAACGTATGTCAATAAATTAGTGTAGTCCGCATCTTATAATTTATTTCAGTTAATACTATTATTGTAATTAATACTGATTATGATTTTGGCTTATCAAATATTTTATTTGCTTCATTTTCAGGTTTCTCGCAACTGGTATGACGTTTACAGCGCTTCACTTTGAATTTTATCGAGGAATTTCAACAATAAGTAGCATTATTGCGGATACTGCTGAAAAATTATGGATAGTTCTCCAACCGCAATATATGGCATTACCTACAGTGGAGCAATGGAAAGAGATTTCTGCCAGATATTATGAACTATGGAATATGCCAAATTGCTTGGGATCTTTAGACGGCAAACACATTAGAATAAAGTGCCCTAAAAAATCAGGTTCATCATATTATAATTACAAAGGCTACTTTTCAATAGTTTTAATGGCAAGTGCGGACGCAGATGGCATATTCACTTTTGTGAGTGTTGGTGACTACGGTAGAAATAGCGATGGTCGTGTAATTAAATCTTCCGGTTTTTTTCGCGCTCTGACAGAAAATAAATTGAACATTCCACCTCCTACTGCCTTACCGAATGATGAGAATAATTCAACGTTTCCTATGTTCTTTATAGGAGATGAAGCATTTCCGCTTCATAAAAATATTATGCGACCTTACCCCAGAAGAACCCTAACCAACTCCAAAAGAATATGTAACTACAGACTTTCGAGGGCTAGGAAAAGTGTTGAATGTGCATTTGGTATGCTGGTTTCAAAATTTAGAATTTTTGAAACACAAATTGACTGTAAACCAGATAAAGTTACTCATATTGTCAAAGCTGCTTGTATTTTGCATAACTATGTTCGCAAGAACGATGGCAGGTTTTTGCATGTCAACAACGAACAAGATGTTGATGCTGCTTACAATGCGTTGCCGAGTTTACAACAAGAGCTTCACGGACGGCAACCAACAACGGCAAGCAGTTTGCGAGATAGGCTATGCGTATACTTTGTGAAACCTGAAAATGCACTACCGTGGCAAAACAATGTTTGTATATAAATACTAATTAAATATGTATGTGTTGATTATAAATAAATGTTTTTAAACTCCGTCGTATCGATTTTAGAACTCCGAACGCACGCCCATGTTTCGCCGACTATCAGCCGAGATTTCAGTTTTTTGTTGTTCAAGTGACTTCGTATAGACTTTACGAGTAATATTGAAAAAGTAAAAAAAGAATAAACTTACCTGTAGAAAAATATTTCCCAGCTACTTGATTCCAAGCTTTATCTTGCTCACTTCTGTTGCTATATGCTTTTAATGTGTGGTCATAAAGACACTGATAGGTTTCCACAGTTTGAACAAACGATATATTGAATTTTTCATCGTCTGGTAAGCGTTTTGTGCACGACATCATGAAAAAATATACAAATAATACCTAACCTCAATCACCAAATGGCTATAA